TAGAAAATTTTTATTACTCCAAAAAGAATCTCATCTCATACCTGTTAGCAGTCATCTCCCATTCCTTCCTCACCATAACTCCTGGCAAGCACCTATTTTCTGTCTGTGGTTAATCAGCTCTGGCCCTTTTATTTTATTTTTTTTAAGAGCTTTTAATGTTTATTTTTGAGAGAGAGAGAGTCAGAGTGTAAGCTGGGGAAAGGAGAGAGAGACACACACACAATCTGGAGCAGGCTCCAGGCTCTGAGCTGTCAGCACAGAGCCAGATGCGGGGCTCAAACCCACAAACCGTGAGATCATGACCTGAGCTGAAGTTGGATGCTTAACCGACTGAGCCAACCAGGCACGCCAGTTCTGGCCCTTTTATACAAATGGAATCAAACAATATATGATCTTTTGTATCTGATTTCTTTCACTTAGCATAATGTTTTCAAAGTTCACCCATGGTCTAGCATATATTAGAACTTCATTTTTTTTTTTAATTTTTTTAAAATGTTTTATTTATTTCTAGGAGAGAGAGAGAGCGTGAGCAGGGGAGGGTCAGAGAGAGAGGGAGTCACAGACTGAAACAGGCTCCAGGCTCTGAGCTGGCAGTCAGCACAGAGCCTGACGCGGGGCTCGAACCCACGAACCACGAGATCATGACCTAAGCGAAAGTCGGATGCTTAACTGACTAAGCCACCCAGGCGCCCCAGAACTTCATTTCTTCTTAAGGCTGAATGATATTTCCCTGTATAGATAACCCATAATTTGCTTATCCATTCATCACTTGGTAGATGGTAGATATTTGGGTTGTTTCTACTTTGGAGTTATTATGAATAATACCGCTATGAATTTATATTAAGGTACAAGGTTTTGGTTTTTGTTTCTGTTTTTTAATGTTTATCTTGAGAGAGAGTGCAGGTATATAAGTAGAGGAGGAGAGAGGGAAAGGGAAAGCAAGACTCCCAAGCTGACTTGGGGCTCGATCCCACAACTATGAGATGATGACCTGAGCTGAAATCAAGAGTTGGATGCTCAACCAGCTGAACCACCCAGGCGCCCCTTGAGTACAAGTTTTTGTGTGGACATATGTTTTCAGTTCTTGTGAATATATGCTTAATCTTTAGTTGATAAAGAAAATAATTTTCATTTCAAAGCAAAGAATTCTCATGATGAGAGAACTGAAGGTTATTATTGGGGGAATTTGGGGTTTTCTTTCTATACTGGTTTCTTAAGATTGGAGTTTTTCTGTATGAGACCTCATGGAGCACTGTGCTTCTAGGAGTGCTTGGCTTGTCACAGAAACCAACAAAAAGCAAGGTGCTCGCTTCAGCACATATACTAAAATTGGAACAATACAGAGAGTAGCATGGCCCCTGTGCAAGGATGACATGCAAACTCATGAAGTATTCCACATTTAAAAAAGAAAGAAAAAGAAAGGTCTCTTCTGAAAGGATGAGAAACAATTAAAAAGTGCCCATATAATAAAGGATGCTTAATTAGCATAACAAAATAACTCCCAGATCTTCTCTTATTCTCACCAAAGCATTTATTTTCATTCACTTTTCATACACAGTACACTTCAGAAATCAGAAAGGGAAAAACCCTCCTGTAGTGATGCAAATTCAGGAAAAGTTAGATGAATGTTAACACATTTCAGATGTATTCTCTCCTCTGCTCTAGAACATAAGCTTTTAGAGAGAGGGTAAGAATATTTCCTATTCTCTGAGCCATCTCTCTTCCCAACCCAAACTGGACTGAAAGAGAAAGAGGGGTCTGGAACAGCTTCTCAAAGGTGCTCTTCATTCCATCTAGGAGCAGGCTTTAAAGCACTGCATTTGCCTTTATAGAAAACTGCTTTTCCCTTTTGTGCCCTCTGGTCCCAGACCTTTGTAACCTTTGGAGCCACAGTCTCATGATGGTTTAGGCAAATTTGCTGGTTCTAACCTTTATAGATGGAGAGGGGGGGAAATGTCTTTGAAGTGGAACTTGCCATTGAGCATCATATGGTCAGTCACACAGAGGTCACTAATCACTCTCCCTTTTTTGTTTTTCAGTGAACGAGATAATTGGGAGAGACATGTCCCAGGTTTCCGTTTCCCAAGGAACAGGGGGGAGCAGGCAGGCTCCCCTCCCGGGTCCCAATTCCCTGGATTTAGGAAGATCCGATGGGCTCTGACAGTGCTCCCTGCAGCCACGTGTCCACCACCATGTACTTCTCATCATGTTTCTCTCCTTGGACCTTGGGTTTCCAACTCTGTGGCCTTCAGGACTGGTGCCAGGAGTTGGGATCACTGTGGGGAAAGCAGCATTCCTCCACCTCAGGCCTTGAGTAGATTTTGTAAAAGAACAGGAGCAGCAGAGACTGAGCTTTGGGGAAATGAGCTTTGCTTTTTATATTTAAATAGGATACTTTTATATGATGGGTGCTTTTGAGTGTGAACGCAGCAGGCTCTCGCATTTCAGAGGTGCTGCTTTTGCAAGTGACCTGGTTGCTTAGCTATGATTGGTGATTTGTACTCCTTTATGGTCATTTGAAGGACTCTTTAGCTTTGATGATTATTTTTAAAGTAGGAACTTTTGATAAAACCTTCCAGAGGTAAACATAATAGAAAAAAAATCCTCCCAAGCCTACACCTATGCCTCAGAAACAGCATGTCCTAAAGCCTTTCATAGATTTATAGGAAATAAAGCCAAATGTAGCTCATACCTCTTTATAAAAGTAAACTGTTAAAGAGGAGACCATTCCAATCATTGAAGTGTTGGAATATAAAATGACATTCCAGAGCATAGCCTTTTTGTAACTTTCTAGGTAATCTTTCTGCAATCTCTCCATACTGACTCCATGTTGAAATTGCTTTTTTTGCCTCAGGGCCTTGGATAAGATAGCTACAAATAAGGTAACTTTGAAAGGTGGGTTGTTTTAGCTTCATAGCTTTAATATCTTGCCATCCTGCAAACAAGTAGGCTGTGGACTGCTTTTCCCTTTTGTGCCCTCTGGTCCCAGACCTTTGTAACCTTTGGAGCCACAGTCTCATGATGATTTAGGCAAATTTGCTGGTTCTAACCAATTTCTAGAGGCCATGCTGTGTCAGAAGCTAAGCACAAATGAGCTGTACTTTAGAACAGTAGAGAAAATGCAGGACTCCAGATGGGAAGTTTTTAAGATTCACGGTGGCATGGAAAGCTTATTCCTCATTCTGTTTACAGCCTAAAATGATTCTGGCCTACTGTGTCCTATCTGCGTGGCCTAAAAACCAGCCTTTTCCCCAAAGGCTTCGAGGCAAACCCAAACATGCAGTAGCATCATAGACCTGACCCTCCACACCAAAGATGCCCTGGTGCTGCTGCTGGTGAGGCTGGTGCCCAAGGCAGGGGCCAGCAAGAAACTCCAGCCTGCTGTCTACCAAAGGAGGTGCCCGAGTTGGGTGCTTTTTCTAAACCCTCCCCTTACCCCTCCCTTTAATGGGATTAGTTACCTGCTCAAGGCCGGGCCCATTTCAGAGCCCCTGAAGTTTGCAGTACGTTTTCAAACAAAATCATGTAATTTCATTTATTCAGGAAGCAAATTTTTTGAGTGCCTATTTTGCGTGACAGTGTGCTGAGCTGGTCAAAGGGCTTGAAGTTACTCCTGGGGACTAGGAGTTCTAGATGCCAGGACTCCATTGAAACCAAGGCAGAGGGAGCCAGTTCATTGCCCACCACCTCTAATCACCAGGTAGGAGCTGTTGACCTCCTACAGGATGAAGTATGGTCTTTTTTTTCTTCTTCTTCATTAAACTATGATGATTTATATTTTTTTCCTTAAAACTAGTTAGAGAAAAATGTCTGTCCTTCAGCAAATCACTCTGGTCCCTTCTGGAGCTGGGTGTCTTCAGATTTTCTTTTAAAGTAAGTTTTGTGTCAGAGTGTGGACAGTGAGATTTGCTTCAGGGCCTGTAGTTGGAAGCCCACAGCTTCTTTTGGTTTGGAGGGGTTGTGGGAGGCAGCCCCTGATGAGGTTTCAGACAGTGGCCAGACTTGCCTCCACCCTCTTGCCCCTGGGGTAGCTGCCTCACATAAGGCTCTTGTAAGAGTTCTCCTTACAAGACCCTTCGGGGGTCGCTCTGCTGCCCTCAGGAATAAAAGCCTCTATGATCCAGAGTTGCTATGCACCAAATTTTGATGCCTTTTAAATACCTTGATGCCTGTAGCACTAGAAATGCTTTCCTATTTAAAATAAAAGTTAAATTTCAAAACAGAGCTTTATATACTATATGAGCAGTCTTGTATCCTTTTGTAAAATCTTTGGTTTAAGAGTCAGTATTTTTTGGCTTTGGAGGTAAAGACTTTAAACTTTTGTGCAACATAAGTGGTGTTAAAGCACACATCATTGGACTATGCAAGTTGACTTCTAGCAGCGACATTTAGCAACTGGGCATGTCCTAGCACCCACCCCTACCCCTCCAACCTGTGCTAGATCTTGAGTTCAGGAATGGGTTAATAAGCAGCCTTCTGTTTACTAGAGATACACAGAGAAACATGGCTGAAAACAGCTTGAAAGGGAACAGTGGTCTCGTCTTCAGGTGCACATGTGGTGTTGCTGCCTGAAGGGCAACCTACCCCTGCCCTTCAGGGGCTAACCACTATCACCAGAGTTCTACTGGCTCTGGCTATGAAGCCCTGTTTTTAATATTCAGAACAGATGGTCATCTTTAATGCTCAGGTGGGCTGCAGTTGAAACCTTATATTTTATAAAATGGGCAATGTTCAGTTAAGGATCTCAGTTTAGTTTACAGCACTTGGGATTGTTTTCTTATACATTTTGTATTGTAAAACCTTTTGTAGGAGTATAGTGCTCCTTACACAAATAACAAAGAGGAGCCAGCAATTCAGGTTCCTTAGTTACAGTGCTGAAATAATAAACGGTGACAGGTCAGTGTCCTTGAAATCTGCCTGAGTTTTCCTCTGCCTGGGGCAGGTGTGGGGCCCCTCACTCTGGGGTCCAAAGCTAAGGACACATTGGCTTTTGAAAAGTCCACTTGGTTAGAACCTTTGTTTATTTTACGGAGGAGTGAGTAGAGTTCCAAAATTCCTCCTGAATCATCAGTTCTGTACCCTCTAATGGGTGCAGAGGACATTCCACGGTGTCTGCTGAGTTCAGGACAACTGGCCTGCCCAAATGTGTGTGAAAAGTGGGCAGAAAGTCCCCTTTAAAATTCGAGCCGGATTTTTTGTGTGAGGGCCTCCTGCCCCCTAGTGTCCTTTGGGGATACTGCAGTATAGTCCATCAAAACAGCTTGTGATTTTGCCACCTGATACTCCTTGTGTCAAGCTGGAGGGGAGCTAGCATCCTTAGATGGTACCACCTGGTACAAACGTGGCCACTGAGGTCCAAGTATCTTGGGGGCTGGGGCCAGCACTCTCTGCCTCCCTGTCCCTACCAGGAGGGATAGGGGAAGGTAGAACATTGGGATCTTTACTCAAAAGCTCCCAGGAGTCATACATTGAAGGCACCAGGGCTTACATTTTTAAAAAGAAAGTAGGCCTGCTGTGGACATCCGCCCCACAGAATCTGAAGGCACGGGCCATAGCCACAACTCTCAGTGTGGCGCTCGGTGCTACTCAGGAGGCCCAGATCAGACCGTTGGGAGCAAGGAGACATGTTTCAACCCCCAGTCCTGCGTGCAGGGTCCAGCCATCATCTTTGGGGTGAACAGGCAGGGCAATAACTGGGAAATGGAGCTGGGGCTTGAGCTCCTCTAGGTGCTTTCTGAGAGCTTTGACAAGCCAGAAAGAAGCCACCTGGTCAAGGGTGCTGGTTTTCTGGATGCAAGAGAGTCATGTTCGACGTTAGCCAGCTCTTACCTCCTGGCTCCCTCACCTACAAACACACCCACTCTTTGGGGGCCTGTAGCACAGTCCGAGACGGGTCACTAACAGGCATCAAACTGGTGTAGTCATCAGGGGCTAACTGCAGAAGGGAACGAGATTTAGGAGAGGAAAATCCAGGCTCAACCAGGTTCCCAAGCCCTCCAGCCACACCTCACCTGATAAGCCTGGAAGATGCTGAGCAGATCCTTCATACCAGCAGTATATGGGACACCCTGCATACGGACCAGGGCTCCTGGCTGGGACAACACTGAGGTGGAAGCAGAGGCCAGGGCAGCAGAGGGTGTGGTGAGGTAGCCCACGGTGGTGGGGGAAACGGGAGGGCTAGGATGGGAGAGGCAGGAATTTAGGAGTGCAGTCCCATTTATGGCTTAGACCAAGCCCTGCTTCCCTCTTTCTTTGCCTCTGCCTTGTGCTTAGTTCAGTTCTTCCTGCCTGAAACCTTTGCCTCTACAGAGTCCGCTCCATTCTCATTTGTAGATGGCATCAGCCAAGCCGTAACTGTCACTCCATTGTCCATCTTAGAATAAGTCTGAGCTCTAACAGACCCTGGATTATCTGGCGCAGGAACGGGATCATGACCCTCCCCCAAACCAGGGTGGGGGCATGACTAGAGTTTTCTTAGCAGCAGGTACCTGGGGTAGTAAGCTGTGTAGTTCATGTAGAGTTGAGTGGGTGGCCCTGGGTAGTAGGCAACAGGGGTGGGGGCAGCAGGCACCCTGGCAGCCGGGAGCAGCGCTGAAGAGGGATACAGAGCTGCCGTCTCAGTGGGAATGAGTGTTGGGGTGGCCTGGAAGGTGGCGTAGGTGGGTGGTGAGAGGCCTGGAGGCAGAAGTAGAGAGTACATCTGCAGGGAGCCCAGCACTGCCCTGGATGAGGCAGCCAGAAAGGAGTCCCCACTGTAGAAAGTGAGAGTTACAACAGCTTGGCCCCCACATGCCTCCTTTCCCCAGCTCCTGAGACACTCACAGGGCAGCTTGCAGGGTGGAGGGGACATGCCACTACGGCCCAAGGTGCCCCCCATCAGCACACGGCTCATCTCCTCTGTGGAGCAGGGGACCACTTCCACGTAGCGTTCCTTCATCACTTTCTTATGGCAACGCTGAGCAGCAGCTAAGGCCCGCTCTGCCGATGTCATCTGGATAAAAGCATCACCCGACGGCCGGCCCTGTAAACATGGTGGTCTTGTAAGCAACCTGTCATACGCAAAAGTGCCTTACTCCCAACCACACACTCCTCCCTAATTACACACGTCTCCCCACTGGCAGCAGCCTCACCTGCTGATTGAGCACCATGTGCACGCCGTGGGGCCGGATGTCAGCAGCTGCCTCCCCCAGAAAGCTAAGGATGTCTTCAATGGTGGCTGTGTAGGGCAGGCCTCGAAGGCGTACACAATCTCTCCCAGTCCCAGCTGCCAGTGGGAAGGGGATAGGCAGCAGTGGAGCCGTGAGTGTGGGAAGGAGTGGGCTGGATGCATAGCGGTTCAGGACCTGGTAAGGAAGGCAGCAACAGGCTGGTCGTGCCAAGTACGGCCGGTGCACAGGGGGTGGGAGGGGCACCCTAGAGAAGCACACGGAGGGTAAGGGAAAGCCCTGGTGCTCACCTGCTGCACCTCGGCCGCAGTGCTCCTGAAGAGTTCAATGTATCGCTTACCCAGTATGCCCTTGTGCCTGCGCAGTGCAGCCTGTGCCAGCTCCTCGCAGGCAAAGAGGGCAAAGGCATCACCAGTGGGCCGGCCGTCAGGGTGGCGCACAAAGAGCAGCCCATCAGCACCCCCAGTCACCGGGCACTCTGGCCCCAGAAAGCCTAGCACGTCTGCCGGCCCAGCCGAGAAGGGTAGTCCCCGTAGCCGCAGAATCACTTGGTCTTCCCGTGACAGGAAACGAGCCACCTCTAGTGATGTGCCTTGGTGGGAGGCATGGGAGTCACCCACTGACTTCATTTGTGCCCTTCCAAATACCCACCTAACACCTGGCACAGGGGAGCACAATGGCAGGGGGCGGGCAAGTGGGACATGGATCAAGAACAAAGGGGAGCTAGGCGCTGTTGGGAGCACACTCACCCCCTGCAATCTTGACAAACTCCTCTCCTGTTGCTTTATATACCTGTGGATACAGTGGGGGCAGTCCGTGGGTCTCCAGCCCGGCTGGCCTCGGCTCTGCCCTTCTTCACTCCCAGCCGAGAGCCCCACCTCAATATAGCGGACACCCATGTGGTGTTTGTGTCTCTGCAGCGCTAGGTCCCGCTGCTCGCTGTCCACAAAGCGGATGAGGGCCTCGCCATTTCTGCGGCCCTGGGCGTTGAGGCAGAGCGCTACACCACCCCTGCGGAGCCAGGGCTGGGTTAGTGCTTCCTAGGCAGGCCTGCCCTCCTGAGCCCACCCATCCTGCCTGCTATACCCACCGGGCAATGTTGAGTCCTTTGAAGAATCGAGCCACGTCCTGGTCAGATGACTGCCAGGGCAACCCACGGGCCCGAACTACAGTCTCACTGTCCACCACATCGGCCTTGCTGCTGTGGGGGCAGGGCACGGAGTCAGAGCTGTCCAGCTATTGTCACCCCCACCCCTGCCGCCACACTCACCAAGGACCTGTCTCATATTTCTGCTTTACCACCTCTGCCTTCGAAAACAATTGACCTGAGAGGAGATGGCATGGGGGTCAGCAGGGTCTGGTGGAGGGGGTCTCCCCACCAAGCTCTGCAAAAAGAGGACAGTTGAGGGGGATGAGGAGGTGACAAAGGAGCATCTACCTGTGGTCTCTCAAAGAAGGTAACCAGTGGGGAGGGGAACTTTGAGAAAGTTAAGAGGTAGACATGCACCCAGTTCTGAGAGCAGGTGACAGGTGATGAGGGGAACCTTACCACTGGGCCCTTCGAGCAGATGGAGGATGACAGCTACCATTGTCTTCACTTCCCAGACCCCAAAGTCATCCTCTGTGGCATCTGTCTCCAGCCCCAAATCTATGAGCAGAGAAGTAACAGCGAGGAAATCCCAGCATGAGCACCAATCTTGGTCCCACCTAGGTCCAAGTCCCCTTCGTGGATAAATGCAGGACCCAGCAAACATTTGTTTTGATCCAGGTTGTATATGCCCTTACAAGTCACCATCCCAGATATATGCAGACATCCCATATTTCAAACGCACCCCAGCACAGACACAGAGGCATGTGCCCTCAAGGACTCGGCAGATAACGTAAACTTGCATGTGTTCACGTAACGCTCAGAATGCACATACTCAAGAACTGCCTGCAGCTTCCCCTCCACCCTAACCCTGCTGCGTCAGATACCCTGCGCCATGGTGGCCACGGTGAGCTCCCTGGCAGGGCGGACGCTCGGGTGCTGCACATGGAATTCTCTGCGGAGGTCGTAGAAGGAGAAGAAGGTGTCGGGGAGCACCAGGTTCTGGGGGCACATGGGAGGGGGCATGAATGGAGGGAACTGAGCTGCCCTGCCCACCCCCACGATGGGGGTCCTGGGAACCCTACCCCCTGTTGTGCCCTCAGTGGCATACCTTCCTGGAGGCCTCAGGGTGCAGGACCTGTCGCAGCAGCTGCTGCCCATCAGTGCATAGCATGTAGGGGCCCCCGCCCAGCAGAGCCACATCCCCGCTCACCAGCTGTGAGAACTGGGGATAGGGAGTGGGGAGAGAGACAGACACAGACTCACAGCTGGGTGGGCAGGAGGAGGGAGGGCACAGGCTGCAAAGCTGGTTCAGCTAGATGTTCAGCCCTACCCTGCCTGGGGAGGAGGTGGCCACACCTGTTGGGCCTGGCTCTGTGTCCCTTTTCTCCCCCAATCCACGGTCACTTCTTCCAGGCCAAATGGGGGCAGTCACATATCACCCAAGCCCCCATCACACACACACTCCAAGAGTCTGGAGTGGTGCCAGAGCAAACACCTGGTGGAGTGGGACAAGCAGGTGGGAAGGGGCGGGGCAAAGCAGGTTAAACCTGTCCCTGACCAGGCACCACCCTCAGACAGGTGGGGGAGGCCCAATCCTGCCTGAGGCCCAGCTGGCTCATGGTCAATGGCAGCCCCGCCTCTAAGTCTGACCAACCAAGGGGCAGAGAAAATCCAAGGACAGAGCCCCATACCTGGACGCCAGGGGCAGCATGAGCTTTGACCCACACTATCGACCGGCTGGCACGGGGTTGTTTACTCATAGAGGGGGTGGCACTCCTCGCCCAGCCCCCAACAGCCTTCCTCCCGCTGGAGAACAGGTATAAGCACTAAGCCCAGGCCCAGAGCAAGCCAACCCAGTTCTCCTTCAGCACACTCCCCAAGTAGGGGTTAGCCTGGGAGCCCTTCAGGAACAGACTCAGGTTCAACATCTCTGTACCTAAATCAAGAACAACCAGAGGAGTTGTTGAGAAATGAAAGAATTTATCCGTGTAAAGCACTTAAACTCATTACACTGAAGAGTCAGGCACAGGGGAAGTGCAGTAGTGAAGGTAAGAAAAAGAAAACAGCAATGGGAACCGCCTCCCACTCCAGCCAGGGCTGGGAGGCACGCTGGGCCTTTGCACTCAGGAGTCAGGTCGCCTCCAGGCGGGGTCCGGACAGCGCCCACGCCTGGCCAGACGGCCGGGACAGGCCTAGACGAGCAGCTTACACCTGGCGGCTTCTGCCTCTGAGGCCGACCCCGCCCTACGCCCCCGCTCCAGCGTCTCCTATGAGGGTGGGTGGGCCAAGGACTCAGGCGGCAGGGACCGTGACCTGTAGCCAAGACCAGGCCCCTCGGCCCTTTTGGCTTCCGACTACTATTCTGGAAGACCTGGCCAGGCAGGTTCCCAGGGGCGTCTGAGCCTCACAGCTACGCCGCCCGGGACTCTAGCAGGGGTCTCGCAACCTCCATCCCGCTGCTCAGTAGAAGTGGATCGCTGGAAAGGCTGCAAAGTAAGGCGCCCCCAGCAATGGCCGGCACACGCGGGAATCTCTGAAATTTTAAACAACAGGAACCCGTCCTACCGCCCAGGCCAGTTGATCGCAGCACGCCAGGCCCTGCCGCCTGCCTCCTCTCCCGCCGAGAAATGTCCCCGCAGCCCGGCCATGTCTCCACTCACCCGGCCCCAAGCACTCACCTGCTGCAGCACCTTGTCCAGAGGCTCGGCCCGCGCCAAGCTGTCGGCACTCAGGCCGCTCGCCTCGCGGCACTGCGGGCTCAGTGCGGCCGCCTCAGCGCGAACCAATGACTTGTGCAACGTCCCCACCTACAAGCGGCGGGAGAAACCGATCAGCCACTGTTCGCCTCGGATCCTGAAACTCCCTGGGCACCCCGTTGCCGCCTTTCCGTCGTACCTGACGGCTCAGCGGCTCCACCACTTGCCAGACTAGGAGAATTAAGTCGGTCTCGTCGGAGCCCAGGTCCGGCCCCATCGCACCGGCCGTGGCTCCGAACAGTACGACCAGGGGTCCAGGCCCGGGGCGGGGGTCGGTGGCGGAGTCTGAGGCGGGGTTCGAGTCCGGGGGCGGTGGCTGGGGAGGCGGCGGAGTCATGGCCGCAGAGGAAGGGGGCGCTCGGCCAGACACACGCGGACCGACGAGGCGCACGCACGCACCGGCCGACGGCAGACACGAATCAGCTTGGGCGGGACCCCGTGTGTCGGGGGCGGCACCTGCAGCCCGGCTGGCGCAGTGGGCGCCGCTGAGACCCGCCCGCGGAGCCCTGCGGGGCGGGGCGGCTGCTCGCCCCCGCCCTCTCTGGGCGAGTTACCTGTCCGCCTAGCCGGCCACGTGACAGAGGGCGGCCTGGGGAACGGAGGGGGAAGGCTGCTAGAGCCTAGAGCGGGGCACGCGCGCCCTGACGCCGGGTCCGGATTTGCGCTCACGGTCCAGACTCCCGCTCCACCAGCGGGCCCTGCCTGACTACTGGGGCGATCTCATCCTCCTCCATGTCCCTCCTCACCATGAGGCCTACGCCAAGAAAAATGCAAATACAGGGGCCTTCTGCAGTCCGTAAGGGTCACACAGGATTTATGAAAATCACCAGGAGGCAGTCTAGGGGCTGTGGGGGTCACGTCGGCCGGTCTGGGGATGATAGAAGTCACCAAAGGTCAAAGAGGGCGGTGAGTTATTGAATATCCACCCATAGGCGGGGGGCGGGGGCTGTCACCATAAGCCAATGGGATTGGGAGGAGGGGTCGGGGATCAGCAGAGGTCCTTAGAGCCACGGGGTCGGGAGACTAGATGTCACAGGTCAGGGCTTGTCCACACAGGTGTGAAGACTTGGCCTTAGCCTGGCTCCAGGAAGTGCCTTCGATGCCAAGACCCTGTAGGAGTTGTGCGGGCCTCCGTGCTTGGTAAGCAGGAAGCGCCCCATTCCAACTCCAGAGAGCGCCACTGGGAGACGGGGCTAAGCAGGATGGCCTGGCCTGGAGCCTCACCTCTACCCCACGTGGAGACTCCAGCCTGTTTTCGTCGCTCTCTCAGCTGACGACGGGCCCGTTGCCTGGAGATGTGAGCACACTGGCCACGTAATGTGCGCGTGAGGGCTGCAGATCCTCCGTCTCTTCATCCGAGACCAGCAACCCAATAAGGACAGTCCCGCGCGGAGGGTTCCCAGCACTCTTTCGCCCCATCGTGCTTGGTGAGGCTCCTTTACGGCACGTTTCCAGACTGCCCCGGACTACCCTAAGTTCTCCCATTTATGTGACTGAGAGACTGAAGAGTCCGGGGGGAAGAAGGGACGTGGGGTTGCCAAGCCCCCGCCAAAACTGAGGCGGGAGCCGCGCCACGCGCTTCCTAAGAGCTGGTCTCTCTGCGTCCGGACATTCGGGAGACGGTGAAAGAGCCCAGGGTGGAGGGGACGCTTCCGAGACCTTGTCCACTGAACCCACACTTCAACGGGTCCCTACTTAACGGATAAAGAGACTGAGGAGTCCAGTACGGAAGTGACTCGCGCCGGGACTCGGCGGTATGGAGGGAGTGGGGAGTAGACAGATCTTCCAGCCTCTCCGGGCGACTAGCGCTTCCCTCAGGTTTGGGCAGGTATCCGCCCCTTTGAGGACCGCCCACTCGGGCTCCTGCCCGCTGGTCCCCACTTGCGGAAGCGCTAGGCCAATCAGGCCCAGGGGGAGGGGGAAACGTAGCTCTTTGAGTCCTGCACCCTTTTAGATAAGACTGGAATGCCAAATATTTGTTCGAGGGGCGGGGCCCAACAGAAGTGAGGCTCCTCCCGTACCCTCCCTGTAGCGCGCGTGCGCCAGGCGGAGTTGGGCTTTCTTCCATCCAAGTCTTTGCAGTAAACTCTTCACCCTAGCGGCATTCCTAAAACTCCCTTGACATGCATTGTTCCTTGTCGGGGTCCTGTCTCCCGGCGTCACCACCCTGCCATCCGGGTACTACTTGGTCTCGGTCTCGGCCTTCCTGGCGCCCCCATCCGTTCAGCCTTCAAGCTAGGCCCTTCCGTATTTCTCCTGCCTGGGTCTCAACGTCGCCAGGTTTTCAGAAAAGCCACCCTTTTGAAGTGACCTGTCCAGTGTAGCACCTCTATCTGTCCTGGCAGCGTGGGGCGGCTCCCCTAAGTTCCTGTGCTCCCATCCGCGCACACTTTCCTGCATGACAATTCCCAATGCTTGAACTCTTCTTGAAACACTAAATTCTTTAACGTTAGAGCCCCTGCGTTGCCAAGCTCCTTTAATTATCTTCAGATGGGTCCTCCCAGATCACACCATTAATATTAAACAACATTCACTCCTTCCCCCCAAAACTAAAGTAACTTCTAATACAATACATCATTTATTGTCTCCCTACACCACCGCCACCCCGAACATCAGATCCTAAAGGACAGGCTCATCCCCAGACCCTATCAGTGAACCTGGCACATAGTACTTGCTCAAGACTTAATGAATGAATAAATAGTTGTCTAAGCACTTTGCACCTTCAGCCTTTGGCTATTTCAGCACTAGTAACCTTCCCTGGGGATAAGGGGTCTTTCCTTTAAGAGTCTTATCTGTACTATTTCTTCCCCTACCAACCCAGCCCTTGCCCTAGTTAACCCCTGCTCTTCCTCCAGGTTTTGTCCTCTGAAGGCACCTCCCTCTGTAGCAGGGGTCCCCATTGTAGTTTGAGATTTCTGTATTTCACTGGGAAATGTCTCCCATCCCAACCCAGCTACTAGAGTTCATGAATCGTTAATGAATGAATTGGAAATCAGGTATGTGAAAAGGGTGAGGAAGGCTTCAACAGTCCAGTCCACCGAGTTTTCCAAACTGTAATCCAGGTACATGGGGACAAGGAAATTGGTCCTGTGAGCCAGGCCACAAGCTTGTGGAATCCCATCCTTACCTTGGCCTTCGAAGCCTGCTACAAAGGCCACTAGTGCTCTAGCCTTTGGGATGTGCAAGTTGGGACAGATACAGAGGTGGAGATCCTCACATGGGGCCGGGAGTGTGACCATTCTTGTGGACCTATAGGGCGTCCAGGAGTGATGTAAAAGCACCCTCCTCTTTCCCTCCCAAGCCAGAAAATATCCTACCATGGGAGAGGATTCTTTTTTTTTTTTTTTAAAGATTGTATTTTTTAAGCAATCTCTACACTCAACGTGGGACTGGAACTCACAACCTCAGATCAAGAGTCCCATGCTCTACTGACTGCCAGCCAGACACCCTTATAGGGAGGATTCTACCCTGGGGTACCTTGTGGGATCCACAGAGGCGATCCACACTCCCAAGCTCAGGCCCATCCCCACCTCCGCAGCCCCTTGGCCCACAATTGGGCCAACCGCTACTGCCCCTTATCTCATCTCCTGGGCCTCCAGGGTAGCCAGTGCATTGGGCTCCATCCAGGTTCCCAGCTTTGCCATAGAGCTGTTGAGTGCCCACCAGAGGGCGCACTGACACTGTCCCCTGAACAAGGTGTTGGGGCCGGAGGCAGGATCTTGCACCGGAGAGCTCTACCTAGGGCAGTGCTCCAGGACAGAAGTGAAAGGGAAGACCCTTGACACTGCCTCCCTCCAGCTTGAGCATCTTTGTGGCTCCAGGCTTTGTGGACAGAAACCAAGTTGTTAAGCTTGGTTTTCAGGACCCTCAACCTCTCTTCCACTCCCACCAACCTTATACCGCAGACACACTTAGTGTGATTGTTCGGGTCTCCAGGCTGCTGCACATACTAAGCTCCCTGCCTGGAGCACCCAGGCTCCTATTGTTTCCCTGGCAAATTCCTACTTACCCTTCCAGACCTATCTCCAATAATTCTTCCTCCAGGTAACATTCCTTGATGCCTAAGCCAGATTGGATACCCTGTTCCGGGCCCCTGTTCAGACCTCAGAGTTTGGCCTCTCATGACCCCAGAGAGGCACTGGGAGAAGACGAATAGGAGCCTGATGTCCTGTGAGCTTTAAGGGAGAATCAGTTGGCCTCTAAATGGGCTCCGTTCGGAAGCCCTGGTCTTGGTTGGGTTGCCCTAAGCCTAGGCACACACCTGGTGCAGATAGGGAAGCTTAGAACTTGGTGAGCAAGAGGGAATGCAAAGGGCCCAGTAAAAAAGAAAAAAGGCAAAAGCTGTTGGCTGGATTCTCACCTGAGAAAGATACCACAACTGACCTGACTCCCTAGTCTCTGGCCCAGAGTGTTCTCCACGGGAATATTATCCCTCTTTCCCAATCTTTTCCAGAATCCACATCCAGCCTCTCAGTCCCTTCGCTCCTCCAGGTCTGACTGGCACTAGGACCATATCCTGGAAGGCCGAAGGGTTAGAGAAGGGGGTGTATCACTCATTCATTCAGTATAAGTTAAGCACCTGCTGTGTGCTGGTGGTAACTAGTAACCAAAGAAGGCAGTAGCACCAGTAATGGGCAGGTGAGGAGCTTGCTCTTCTGGCAATTATATTCTGCTGGATGCCAGGTAGGGTCTGCTTCAGAGCCAATCGATGATCATGTCTGGGCTGAGGCCTAAAAGTAGAGCTCAATTAAGTCCCCAAAAATGGGGGCTGCAGAGTGATCCCAGTGCAACAAGTGCAGAAGTCCTGAGAGAGAATGAGGTTATTTTTTTTTCAAAATGCATTTATTGTCATATGCATAAAAGCAAATAGCGAAGCATGCTGAAACATCTTGCGTTAAGCCCCAGTCTTGACTGCCATGGAGTAAAGAACACTAGATTTTCAAAACGAAATAAGTACGTAAATATGCTTACATCTTAAAATAAATGCATGTAATGTTTCTTACTAGCTCACCCATAAGCTGATGTTGGAACAGCTTGCTGTATAAAACTGAAGTGCACAGTGACATTTGTATCGTTCATCTACTTTAGGAAACAGTTTCTGAATTCTTTCCCCCTTTATACTGTATCAGTAAGGCAAAAAACAAGCCTTTGGAGCATTAAAAACAAATCTTCACCCAAATATCTATTGGTAACTTGAGGGACTTTTCAGTTATCTTGTGCAAGGATGAATAGATCAAACACGCTATTGAAGCTGGAAATGAGGGAGCTGGGGAAGCGGGGAGGTGGAAGTTGGGGGAAAAGGTCAGAGTCCCCTGCAGGGTCCTCACTCACTATGACTGAGTTGTATATGATGCATTCAGTAGGAGGGTTGTGTGTGGGGTTAGGCAGACAGTGATGGGCCTGATTTAATGTTTAGTGGTGCCAACCTGACACAGGGAGAGCAATTCTTAGGAATAAGGGCATAAATTGGGACATCAGCAAGGAGGCTACTTTGGAGATGAAAGTTTGGCATTGGGAAAGTAGAGCTGGCAAGACTTGGTGACCACCTGGTTGTAGGTCTGAGAATCAGAGAAGTATCTAGAGTCCAGGATGAACCCAGGTCTGCAGCCAGGGGTTTCATGTGGATGACAGGGTCATTGTGATAGGGGGACCCTTACCTTCTGACTCCTTCCCTCTCCACAGTGCCAGCACAGATCACTGTGACTAGGCCTTAACATCCTCTCCCCGATGGCCATGGTTCCTATCATCTGCAAGGCCTGTGGAACTGGGGCACCAGGGAACTGCTGCAAAGGACAGGGCCACCCTGTGAAGGGCCCATCATCACCTGAGGCTGATGGGTTGACAAGACATTCAGACTGGCCAATATCCAAGGCAGCCCAAGCCATCCTGATGTCTACCCTCCCTTCACTTAACTCTTGGCTATGGACTTCTGCTTGTCCCTCGTACTGACAAAATGAACTCTATGGTCTCTCACTGTGGGCCTGCAATAGATTGGTCCTTGCTAACCCCTCTTCTGGGGACTAGGATGGAGGGAGGAAGGAGTTTTGGGTCCTTTCCAGGGCTTGAGGTGGGAGATAGTTGGACCTTAAAAGAGTAAGGTACTCTGGGAGCACCTGGGTGGCTTAGTCGATTGAACATCCAACTTTCGCCTAGGTTATGATTTCACAGTTCGTGAGTTCAAGCCCCACATTGGCCTCACTGCTGTTAGCCCAGAGCCTGCTTAAGATCCTCTGTTCCCCTTTTACTCCCTCTCTCCAATTTGTGCAATCTTTCTCTCAAAAATAAATAAAAAAGATAAAAAAGAGGAAGAAGAAGAAGAAGAAGAAGAAGAAGAAGAAGAGTAAGATACTCCAATCACCAATGTTCTAAGAACACAGAAGGGCAGGCCAAAATGGTGAATACTTGCAGCACTCTGAAAAGCTAGAAAGGGTTAGCCATTGACCAAGAGGAAGGAAGGAAGGAAGGAATGGGCAGGCTAGAGGTCTTTAGACCAGCCAGGGGATGATCAGGGTGTTGTCTAGGCCTCAGGAGGAGGTGTGTGGAGGATCAAGATTCCAGTTTCCCTATCTTAGGGTGCTGGTCTCCCTATCCTAGGGTGACCCATAGTGCTGGCCGTATTGCCAGCGGTCCAATCTACCCACTCCGTTCGCTCTGATTCCGCTAGCTGGGAGTCTGTGTCGTCTCTGGATCCCCAGTTTGTCTGGGATGTGAGTGGTAGGTGGATTCCGAAGTCCCTGTCCTGCTCTGCTGGGGAATTTGCTGATGGGCCTTGGCGCAGGCTTCCGGTTCAAACGCACTTTCCACTGGGCGCGAGTATTGCTCAGCTTGGTGTTGTGGCTCCATACTGCGCCAACTAAAACAGGCGAGGAGCCCTCTCACTCAGAAGCGAAACACACTGACCTAGCCTCTACCTGTCCCGCCCCTATTCCTAAACCCTGGACAGACGCAAGGGGTCCCCTGACCCACGTGACATCGGAGCAGGGTGCGAAGAATCGGCGTAGGGTTTGCACAAAGGTCCTGGTCAGCTCCCGTTCCCCTCCCGTTCCCCTTAGGCCAAGAACTTTCCGACACTCACTTCTCCCCTTCTTCCCCTTGCTCCGACCAAGGTCTCTCAGCAGCGCTGAGCACTGGACCATGAATCCTCGCTCAGCCCAGCCCGTTCCAGATCCCAGGGCAGGGACGCACCAGGAATTGGGGTGAAGGCTGCGCCGCGTGGATTTTGGATGCCCAAAAGCCGTGCTGGGTATCCAGCAGCGGCGAGCTGGGTCTGACTGGTCGGGGACTGAGAGCTCAGAAGCCAGGCTGAGCTCGGATCGATCGATGCGCTCGGCGAGCAGCGAGGTCCAAGAAGCTGGCAGGGGATCCGCGGGGGCGAGGCGGCGAGCTCCAAATGGGAGGGACGTGCCTGGCGGTGAGTTTCTATTGGCAGGCCGTTTGGGGAAGGTGGTCCTGATTGGCCCGGCGACTGTGGTCGCCTGCGGGCGGTGGGGTTAAGCGCGTCGCCGCCGCCCCGGCCTAGGCACGAGCCCAGAGCGCTGAATCCGCACCCCTGGACCTGTAGCGGCCGTGGCACGCAATGGGTCTTCGCCTCTGTCCCTACTCTGCGGCGCTGCTCCTGGGTGGCCTCCTGTTCCTCCTGCTGCTCGTAGACCCGGCGCTCCCTGTCGGACGTCCCCCTCCGGTGGTGCTGGGTGAGGCGCGCGTCCAGTCGTGGGTCCGTTTGCTCTTGCGTCCAGCAGGACCGGGTGCGGGAGGGGCTGTCTTCCAGACCTGCATGTGCTCTAAGTGTGGGGCGCGGGAGCATATGACTGTCTTGTCACCTGGGTCGGTCCGTCCACCTCTCGCCATGCTGTGCGCGGGTGTGGTCAACCTCTGCTCACCTTCCCCTGTAAAATATGGAGTAAATGGGAGGGCTGCGGTGCGGTTGTTCATCAGCACTGCTGTCTACGTCAGTTCCAAGCTTTGCCTCGCTCTTTGCCCATTTTTTTAGCTGCAGAGACCGAGATCCTTTGGCCCCACTCCTGGGGTTCGTCGGGGGACATGGTGTTCTCGGAGTTAGTCCTCAGGGTCCTCATTGTTGATTTGGGCATGGCTAGGAGACTGTCTCTCTCGACTTTTCTAGCCCCGTCTGTTTCAGGAGGCGTTATTGAAAGGAAGCTTTTTGGGGAAAGAATGGCTCTCCTAGCCTGCCACCAAGACTTCTCCCTCCCCAAACTTATCAAATGGGTGCCATTGGCCTGAGGGAAGAGGCCTAAGGGAATCTGAGGGTGGCTAAAGACAGAGGTAAGGGTTGGGACAATGGCTATCAGCAGATGCCAGGCAACATCTTACCCTTGCCTGACCAATTTGGACTGGGCTATGTTGGATCTAGGTGACCTTCCCTGCTGACCCCTTGGCCCCTGGCCCCTGCAACTATACAGGAACCATAGTGTTTCCTCCTGGTGGTGGGCAGAGATAAGACTTCTCTGTCTTGGAGGCCTTGGATGCCTCATTCAAACATTGAGTTGGTGGCCAGCTAGGATTCTTAAGGGCAGAGACATGCTGAGGTATATGTCACATGTTGAGTCTGCTGCAGTATGACCCCCATGTTCTTTCTGATGGGAGTATTTCAATGTGGATGGTGCAGATCACAGAAGGGTAGGGTTGGCTGGCAGTGTGGTCCCTGCGGGGCCCTAGCAGGAGCTCTAGGCAAGGAAATCCATGGGATTTGGGCAGACTTGGCCCTGTGTTCCCTAAGTTTACAGGGATCCCTAGAGATGAGGTCTGTGTTGGGCAAGCACAAAGAGTCCACTTATCCAGTTAGGGAAGGCTTCCTGGAGTATGTGGCTAGAGGTGAGGCCGGGAGAGAGTTACAGGCAGAGGAAACTATATATCAGAGGGAGAGGGGTAAGCAATCCAGGATGTCTGAAATGGAGTTGGGGGAGGAGTGGATTGTGCAGGGCTTGTGACTAGTTGGCTCATCTAGACTTTATCCTGTAGGCACACAAGAACCCATGGGTAGGCCTAAGGAGTTCTGAGTATGAAGGCTGTGGCATTGGGAAATGTGTGGTCCCTGATGAGGCCCCTGATGTGTGGCAGCCTTTTTTCTTGGATTGGTGCTAACTTCATTCATTAATTCATTCAGTTCAGTTCTTGCTTATCCTAGGCCACAGCAGAGGAGCCTTATGCTACAACCAGAGTCACAGAATTCTAATCTGCCCGGCTTCGCAGAGAGTGCAGCTGTTGGCATTAATTCTGGGAAACCCCATGGTGGGCTGTGGAGAGTTGTTCCTAGACACAGAGCAAGGACCATCAGAGGATCAGCATCCAAGGGTGACCAGCTTCTATGAGTGAGACCCAAATTGGTGGTAGAGGAGGCAGAGACCAAAGACCTTGGGCAGGTGGAGAATGGCAAGAAGTCATTTCTACCCCAGCCTCAGTCTCCTCATCTGTAAAGTAAGCACAGTAAGGATGTTCTCTCCCAGTGTTATTTGAGGTGAAAGGTACATGGATGTCTTTTGTCCAGTTTTAAGCAAAAAGGGGCTTAGGAAGTGTCCACTGCTATTTTTAGAGGCCACACAGCTTGTCTAGGACAAAGAGCATTCAGGCACAGCAAATCTGGTGACTTCCTCTTTCAGCCATTTCCTTTTTGGTGGAGACAATGACCAAGGTCTCTGAACTGTTATGCTGAGGACTCCCCATTTCTGCATCTGTGTTGTTAAGGGAGGTGAAGGCAGGTGTCACACCTGCCTCTCATGGTTGTCCTGAGGACACTGTGAGATGATGCAAAAGGAGGGCATCCCCTGTGCAGGGGTGGGTTTGTAGAGCCCAAAGGATGCCCAAGAGAACCAAGAGCTGATGGTTCACTCAGTGATCATGGATCCTAAATGGTGATGGGCTTGGAAGATGTCAAGAGCATGGCATGTAGAAGCAGGTGAGGCCTGAAAGGTCAATGGGAGCAATATTCTGGGAAGGGCCTTGAATGTTGGGTGGTGAAGCCATGGGGATGGGTTTAAGTGTCACAGGGGCCAGAGGGCTCTGTGTATGTAAACTGACTAGACTGGCTTGGGCAGAGAGAAGTTATCCTTGGGACTTGTCACGCCCACCCCTACCTGGCTGTGGCTGGACGGGTGTGTTGTTTCAGGGTAGCCATCTCTGACACAGGGTCCAGGTGTGCTGAGAGCCTAGGGCCCTCCAGATGATCTGCCCTCTGCAAGATTACTGGGCTCTCAAGAGGCTGGCAGGTACCAGTATGAACTTCTCTCAGCTGTGTTTCGGTTCATTGCACCCCCCGACCCCTCCACAAGCCTGCCCTGGAGTGCCTTCTCTGGATTCAGTTTTGGCTAGTTAAGTGGCCCAGTGCTTTGTCCTGTTTCCCACTCCTTTGAGCTAACAAGGCCCTACTCTGTAGCCTGGGACAGCTGTAGTAAGAAGGCCTTTGGGTTCAAGCCAGAGGATCTCCAGCCTGCCAGGTCCAGGCCCTCATGAGTGTTCTGGGTCCCCCTGCAGTGCCCGGTGACTTGGGGAACCAGCTGGAGGCAAAGCTGGACAAGCCAACGGTTGTACACTACCTCTGCTCCAAGAGAACGGACAGCTACTTCACCCTCTGGCTGAACCTCGAGCTGCTGCTGCCTGTCATCATTGACTGCTGGATCGACAACATCAGGTGGGGGCTGGGGCACAGACTGGGGTGCTGCTCACCGAGCCTAAAGAAATTTCTAGAACCTATTTCTGTCTCATCCCCATGTCAACAGACCCTGAGATCACTGACTCCTTGCCCTTCTCATTTCCTCAGTCTAATCAGCACCACCTCTTCACGCTCGGAGACAGAACTTTCTTCCTCCCTTTCTTGTAGCTCTTGTCTCTACTCTCTCTAGTCCGTGCCTTGTGCTGTACACCCTCTGCGTGGATTCTTTTTCTTTTTCTTTTTTTTGAAGATTTTATTTATTTTTAAAATTAATTTACTTATTTTTTAATTTACATCCAATTTAGTTAGCATATAGTGCAATAATGATTTCAGGAGTAGATTCCTTAATGCCCCTTACCCATTTAGCCCATCCCCCTCCCGCAACCCCTCCAGCAACCCTCTGTTTGTTCTCTGTATTTAAGAGTCTCTTATGTTTCGTCCCTCTCCCTGCTTTTGTATTATTTTTGCTTCCCCTTTCTTATGTTCATCTGTTTTGTATTTTAAATTCCTCATATGAGTGAAGTCATATGATATTTGTCTTTCTCTGACTGACTAATTTCGCTTAGCATATCACCCTCTAGTTCTATCCACGTAGTTGCAAATGGCAAGATTTCATTCTTTTTGATTGCCGAGTAATACTCTATGTGTGTGTGTGTGTGTGTGTGTGTGTGTGTACACAACATTTTCTTTATACATTCATTTGTCAATGGACATTTGGGCTCTTTCCATACTTTGGCTATTGTTGATAGCATTGCTATAAACAATGGGGTGCATGTGCCCCTTTGAAACAGCATACGTGTATCCCTTGGATAAATACCCAGTAGTGCAATTGCTGGGTCAAAGGGTAGTTTTATCTTTAATTTTTTGAGGAACCTCCATACTGTTTCCAGAGTGGCTGCACCAGTTTGCTTTCCCACCAGCAGTGCAAAAGAGATCCTCTTTCTCTTCATCCTCGCCAACATCTGTTGTTGCCTGGGTTGTTAGCGTTAGCCATTCTGACAGGTGTGAGGTGGTATCTCATTGTGGTTTTGATTTTATTTCCCTGATGATGAGTGATGTTGAGTGTTTTTTTCATGTGTCTATCAGCCATCTGGATGTCTTCTTTGGAGAAGTGTTTATTCATGTCTTTTGCCCATTTCTTCACTGGATTGTTTTTTTGAGTGTTGAGTTTGATAAGTTCTTTGTAGATTTTACATACTAACCCTTTATCTGATATGTCATTTGCAAGTATCTTTTCCCATTCTGTCGGTTGCCTTTTAGTTTTGCTGATTATTTCCTTCTCTGTGCCGAGCTTTTTGTTTTCACAAGGTCCCAATAGTTCGTTTTTGCTTTTGTTTCCCTGGCCTCTGGAGACATGTTGAGTAAGAAGTTGCTGCATCCGAAGTCAAAGAGGTTTTCTCCTCTAGGATTTTGATGGCTTCCTGTCTTACATTTAGGTCTTTCATCTATTTTGAGTTTATTTTTGTGTATGATGTAAGAAAGTGGTCCAGGTTCACTTTTCTGCATGTCGCTGCCCAGTTTTCCCAGCACCATTTGCTGAAGAGACTATCTTTATTCCATTGGATATTCTTTCCTGCTTTGTCAAAGATTAGTTGGCCAGATTTTATTTTTAACTAATCTCTATATCCAACGTGGAGCTTGAACTCATATCCCTGATATAAGAGTCGCATGCTCTACTGACTAAGCCAGCCAGGCACCCCCTTAGATGTGGATTCTATGCTTCAGCCCTTATTCATAGCCTCAACATGGCCTCCGACCCTTCCCTTGCATCTGACTTGACCACTGGCCCCTCAGCTTCTTATTCCTCCTGGGACATACCGTGTCTTCATATCTTTATACATGCAGTTCTTTCAGCCTGGAATCTAGCTTTACCTGAGAAATTCCCTCGCATTCATGCTTTTAATTTTTTTTGATGTTTATTTATTTTTAAGAGAGAGAAGGAGAGAGTGAGCAGGGGAGGGGCGGAGAGAGAGGGAGACAGAGGATCTAAGCAGGCTCTGCACTGTTAGTGCAGACCCCAGTGTGGGGCTTGAGCTCACAAACTGAGATCACGACCTGAGCCGAAGTCATGCTTAACTGACTTAGCCATCCAGGCACCCCCACCCCCATTCACCCTTTAAAACCTGAGCCTGGTTCCCTGCCACTCCCGCAGTGCTCTTAGCCTTTCCTTCTTCCATGCCACATGTCTGTTCTCTTATATCCTTATCATTTGCCAAACTTTGTTTCCAAGGATGTTTCCCTGATAAGAAGACGATACTGTATTGGGAATTACCACTTGTTGAATACAGACACAGTCTGTGTTACATACTTTCTTTCATTTAGTCTTACAGCAACTCTATGAAACAGGCACTGTTTTCAACCTTGTTTACAGTTGAGGAAATCTGGAAGCTCAAAAAGGTTACAAAGTTGCCTAGGGTCACTTGGCTAATAAGTGGCAGAACCAAGATTCGGACCCAGAATTATGTGACCCTGAGCTAAGACTGAGCTCCCTGAAGGCAGAGGTTGTATCTCTTTTATCGTTATAGCAATAGAACCAGGAACAAATTTGTACTCAGTAAATGTTTGAGCTGAATGGAGTCTCACAAATTAATTTTTTTTTCTGAAGATGTGTTAGCTAGTTCTCCGGGTGCCTTGCCTTTCCCTGTTGTTTGTGACGCCTGCTTTGTCGACTCTTTCCTCTTTTGTATGTGATCAGGGTTATTTCTGGGCTGTTGATCTGCAATTCTATTTTTATACCAGAGACTCGGTCTCAGGTACTGCCAGTCGGAGGTGCAGGCTGATTTTGAGAGTGGCTTGTCTACCTTCATTGGACATCTGACTTGTTTAGCCTTTCATCTGGCACTGAGCTGCTTTGTCCTTGTAGAAAGTTGTCTACACTTTGCTGAGTGGCCATTGGGATAATCTACAGATTGCTCTAGAGAAAGTGGGCCCCCGGACCTATTATTTGGGTCAATGTTGGGTACCTTTGTCAGCTTTCTGTGGCTGATCTTCTGGGATTTAGGACTCAGGACCACCAGTGACTGCGGGTCTGGCCTGTATTTTCTAGGGCACATTTGCCTCCTTGGTATCAGGGAGGACAGAACCAAGTTCCTGGCTTAGTACAAAGCTTTCTTTCTGTCTCCCACTGTGCTACCCCATCATTTTTCCAGACCTTGCCGCCCCACCCACACAGCAGCCTTGGTGTTCAGGCCCTACGGTGGTGGTTTCTCTGTTTGGTTCTGTTGTATGCTGCACTTAACGATCTCCTTTGCCCTGTGATGCGTTGTGGTGGGTGGTAGGAGCTAAATCCACAGAGATGGGGAATGAGAGCCTGTAAGATTAGGCTACCTGCCTTTTGGGCCAAGCATAATGTTGATGGCAGAGCCAGGCCTGGCACTTCCCTTCTCCAACCAAATCCAAGATCTACATTCTGAGGTGGATGACACTGAGGAGAAGAAAATATTGCCTTGACAGGGGCCCTGGTTTAATCTTTGGAGTGAGTCTTGTTTGGGGTCCTCAGTTGGGCTTGGTTACTCTGATTTGTGCTTTATAAAGTTTGTTAGTTTTTAGTCTCCCCTATACTTCTTACCAGACATGAGAATAGTAAGGAAGTGTGGCTTAGGACACAGGGCAGTTTTAGGACACACCATGCTCAGGGTCATCTCTGGATCACCAACTCAATATCCCCACCCCCATCCCCGACAGGCTGGTTTACAACAGAACATCCCGGGCCACCCAGTTCCCAGATGGTGTGGATGTGCGTGTCCCTGGCTTTGGGAAGACTTTCTCACTGGAGTTCCTAGACCCCAGCAGAAGCAGCATGGGTATGTAACCCTTCCTCGTGCCGTCCAGGGAATGGAGCTGAAGGTTCTATATTTCTAGAGTGGGAGGAATGCTGTTAGTTTGAAATGGTAGCTTGTAAACTGTCTCTAATCACTGTAGGCACAGAGCCTTATAAGTCCTTCTTCAGGGATCTTTCTACAGTAGATGTCACAGTCTCCTTGTTGGGTATGCTGTGGGTGGCTGACACTGACTGTCCTTTCTGCAATTCCCATACATTTCTGTCTGCAGGTTCCTATTTCCATACCATGGTAGACAGCCTTGTGGGCTGGGGCTACACACGGGATGAGGATGTCCGGGGGGCCCCCTATGACTGGCGCCGAGCCCCAAGTAAGTGGTCACCCTTGCTTCTTCCCTGAGGTCTTTGGAGGTGGGGACGAGGAGGTCACAGCCACCAAGGGCCCTGGGCTCTCCCCTCCCCACAAGGCCTCTGGCGTCCAGCCTAGCAATGACAGCTACTACCCCTGGTCAATCTGTCCTGTCCTTCCCCACTCCTCACCCAAGGATTTCTGGACCTCTGAGCCCTGGGGAGAGATAACAAGGCTGTGAAGGGGGAAAGTAGCTCCTACGATTCCTCCCTTCCTGGAAAAGGAGGGGAAACTAGACCACTCCCAGTTGGATTTTAGCATTTTCCCCACCTGCCTAGTCCTGGATCTGGCCTGAAAAACATTCAATGGTTCAGGCCCCAGGACCCTTCCTTCCTGACCACCGCCTGGCTCTGGCCTACAGATGAAAACGGGCCCTACTTCCTGGCCCTCCGGGAGATGATCGAGGAGATGCATCAGCTGTATGGGGGCCCTGTGGTGCTGGTTGCCCACAGCATGGGCAACATGTACACACTCTACTTTCTGCAGCGGCAGCCACAGGCCTGGAAGAACAAGTATATCCGTGCCTTTGTGGCACTGGGTGCGCCCTGGGGGGGCGTGGCCAAGACTTTGCGTGTCCTGGCCTCAGGTAAGACCCTGCCTGACCCAGTGTGGGGGGCTGATGTCAGGGATGGTGCCCTCTCTTTCCTTCTGCAGTGTCCTCCTGGGCCACTCTCATGTCTCTTCTCCAGAGTGGTATGCTTTTCCAAACATCTCCTTTTCCAAAAGAGAATCTATCACTAATTAATTTCCTCTCTCTAGGTAATGTCTCTTGTTATCTATGTAAGTTTTCTTACAGCATGTACATGGAGTGTCACAACTGTTGGTCATTCAGGTACTGGCTTGTGCACACATGTATACACGTACACTATGCTCTGGCCTGGCTGGCCTAACTTGGTTTGACCCAAGTTAGGTTCTTTGGGGGAGCCTTCTCCCTTTCTTTTACCCTCATCTTTCCTTCTTCATACCCACCTTTGCCCCAAGGAAGAAAGGTTGGACTCCAGTTTCCTGTTTATGAATTGTACAATGGGGAGCCTCCCTGTTACACAGGGAGGAAGCAGGTGCAGATTTCTTTGGGCCTGCTTGCTCGGCAGTTAGCAGAGCCACCACCCCCCTCCCTGTTCCTCCCCAATTCATTTGGCTTTTCAGGGCTATCAGAGCCTGCCAGCTGTAGCTATGGGGCTTTCCTCCCTCTGCTAGGACTGGGGATGAACCCATGGTCCCTCACGTTAGGAGCCACGAGCCACTATGCCGAGCGTCTGAGGAACTTTCTTCCTCGTCATCAGCACTGCCTGACCTACTTGCTGGACAACTGATGGTTACAATCTGGTCAGACCCAGTGCCTCTCCCAGAAATGACCCTGGATTGGCTGGACAACGAGTCCAGATATAGTGAGGACTAATGACAGCCACCTACTCTGTCCAACCTGGACCTAAAAGGACAGATGTGAATATGCCTGAGTTTGAGACAGGGAGCCATGGTGAGGTTCAGGTCCTAGCCTTTCAGAGTTTCTCTGTGAGTCCCCTTAGGTCTCTGCCTCAGATTCTGGGAAACTGTTATGTCAGGTCCTGGCAGTCTGGATCAGGGGTAGGGTGGGGGTGGGGGGAGTAGTCAGCCCATAGCAGGGGGCTTTCCTTGCCTCAGGGGTCCTACAGCCAGACCTCATAAGGCAGAGCTGAAGTCCTGTTGGTCAGTCAGGAGGTGAGTTAATGGGTGACCATGGGTCCTGAATAGGTCAGGGGGCCCCTGTTTCCAAGTTCCGGCTCATTCCTCAGAGGCCTCCCTGGCTGTGGTGTTGGCATTCCTGTGTGGGACGGACTCTCGCTCTGCTTGCAGCCTCCCCTCCTGCCCCCTCTCTCCCAGGCCTGGCTGCCCAGGTCAGCGACAGGCAGGTGAGTAGGATACAACCAGGGCTGTCTGGCTGCAGATATGAGCCCAGGAAAAGAAAAATGTTTTCATAACTCAGTGTAAGAAAAGAGAAAGATGAATGTGTCCCTGGGCTGACATCCTGCTGAGTCACCTTCCATAAGGTCAGTGCCCACAAGCCTGATAACAAATGCTCAGAGGAGGGTACTGTTTACGCAATGAATCACCTTGTGGGTATGTGCTGCCTAAACCTCTGGTGAGGAAATGCAGAAGGAAAGAAACAAGTCATGGTCGTGTGCTTCCCAGATAGTGTGAACATACAGGGAACCATGGGGGAGTTATAATGAGGACGGCAGTGTAGAGGCGCTAGAGTGCTGACTGGGCCCCTGACTAGGGCCCAGCAAGGGGCCTGGTGGGGACCCTGCTGCCCAGCCAGCTTGCCCGGAGAGCACAGACTGAGAAAGCCCCCTCCCTGCAGGAGACAACAATCGGATCCCAGTCATCGGGCCCCTAAAGATCCGGGAGCAGCAGCGGTCTGCTGTGTCCACCAGCTGGCTGCTGCCCTACAACTACACCTGGTCTCCCGAGAAGGTCTTCGTGCACACGCCCACAACCAACTACACGCTGCGGGACTACCGCCAGTTCTTCCAGGACATTGGCTTCAAAGACGGATGGCTCATGCGGCAGGACACGGAGGGGCTGGTCAAAGTCACGGTGCCGCCCGGCGTGCCACTGCACTGCCTCTATGGCGCTGGTGTTCCCACGCCAGACTCCTTCTACTATGAGAGCTTCCCAGACCGAGATCCCAAAATCTGCTTTGGTGACGGCGACGGCACCGTGAACTTGCAGAGCGCCCTGCAGTGCCAGGCCTGGCGCAGCCGCCAGGAGCACCCAGTGTCACTGCAGGAGCTGCCGGGCAGTGAGCACATCGAGATGCTGGCCAACACCACCACCCTGGCCTATCTGAAACGTGTGCTCCTTGGGCCCTGATTCCTGTGCCGGGCAGGGCTGTGGGATGGCGTGGCCGTACCTGCTTCTCTTGGCTACCGTGGCCCGTGAGTTTAGCAGTTTGACTGTCTAAGGCCTTCAGTCTTGGGCTGTGAAATATCTGCCATTGGGAAGTGCTGTTTCTTATCCTTTCTCTGTGGGTATGAAGAAAGAAGAAATAGTCTGGACTCACTTGATGGATCCTTGCTGAAAAGAATGCTGCTGACAGAATTGCTGTGACCTCAGGACTGGCTCTGCAGGTGGACTGGCTGGCGCCTGGCCTCAATCCTGGACTGAGGGGCCATTTGTTCCTCCTACCCCTGTGGCCTTTTCATACTTAGCCACCGGGCCCTGGCCCCTCAGCCTTCCTTGAGGGGTATTACTGAGGTGTGGTTCCTGTCCCAAAAGGTCCCAGGGATGGGCTCCTGGTCCCTAGGGTGATCCTTCCCACATACTGGCCACAGGTAGGCTTGCTAGTGGCTGTGGGTGGCTGGAGCTGCTGGCTTCCCTGTGACCTAGAGGCAGTCTGGTTCCTCCTGCAGGCAGGGGCAAGTTGTGTTCTTCATGGTTCCCAGGTCCTGGGGCATTCACTCCTACCTCCCTCACCTCCAAGAACAGCCTAGCTCAGGATTGGGCAGCATATGGCCCTCTAGTTCTTGGGGGCTATGTTCCAGGAGGCTTGACTCCCGTGGCTGGGCTGTTACCCACAGTATTGATGCTGGCTTGCTTCCCTCTGGGAATGTGGTTCAAAGATGAGAGCAGGGCCCGGTGCCATGGCCATTTAGGTACTCATGAAGAAAGAGAACTCAAGGAAGCAGCTAAGGCCGCTCCGGGCCACCTTGAGCTGCCCTCTTGCTAACTCCACCACCACATTGCCACCCTGCCCTAGGGTTTTTCTAGCACCCATGTGGGCTGGCACAGAGCTGAGAGGAGGTAGGACTCTTGCCCATTTTGCCCAGCACCTACCCCCACCAGGCAGCTCAGTGGCGTTTGGTCTGCAGAGACCAACCCAGATGCTTGAGTGGGCCCCTGAGAGAGCCAGGTGCCTTGGGGCTCCCCTGGTAGTTTTCTTTCTGTTCCAGAGGTGCTGCATGGGCAGGGATGGAGAATCTGGATCTACCTTGGTGGCAGTGATCTCCAAGTGGTCAATGGCTACAAGCCAAGACTTGAGTCTAACCTCTAGGCCCCAGAGCTACAGTCAGGCTGGACTGTGCTGATCTCCCACAAGATTTCTGTGGAGCTGGATTTTTTTGTATTGTGAACATAACCCAGCATCTCTCTCTCTTTTTAGTCCTGAGTGGTGTGCTCCATATGGGGCTCTGAGCAGGCTGTACTTTGATTCTGGCAATAAAAATATTCTGGATGCTGTAAAGTGCCTTGGCTTAGAGTCTGTTTGGAGCCTGAGAAGAGAGAGGTAGTGGAGGGGTGAAGAGGCTAGAGAGGTGGGTACTCAGGGGCTAGACCTTTCCTGGGGCCTTGATGGGTTCTCTTGGTGCCAAAGTATGGCACCTGTGCACCGATTTGGGCTTTATCCTCCTGCCCTCTCTCCTGGAATCTATTTCCCCTCCTGAAACTAAGAACTAGGACCTGAAGCATTCCCAGTGGGAGTCGGCTCCTGCCCTTCCCTCTACTCCTGCTTGGTCTGAAAACCCCACATGCTGCCCCATAGCTGGGGGCTAAGGACAACCCTGCAGGTCACCCTGGCTGGACTCTCCTCCCCAGCCTTTTTGTCCTCTCTCAGCTTTCAGGTCTCAGCATCTTTTGACCCTAGAGTTCTTTTTAGGACGCCACCCTTCTTCTTTGTTTCTTCAGTTTGTCTACCCACCATCTGTCCCTCTTTGCAGACAGACAGAGACTGACTGAGGAGGAGAGACTAGGCTGAGACTAGGCGTGGATAGAGATCAAGATGGGCAGAGATAGGGACCAAGACTGGGAACCAAGTGGAGATGGATAAAGACAGAGAAACAGAACCCGAGACAGGGATACATGCATAGGGATGGCATCCAAGGCTGAATTCTATGGTGCGTAGAGTGAGGGTTGGGGGCAGTGGGGTGGTGGGAAGCCCCAGTTCCTGCTCTCTCCTCAGGGCCAGGGCCGAGCCAACCTGGGCTTCAGGCTTCAATACACCCTGGGCCACTAGAGGGCACTCTGAGCCCTCTCACAGCACTATTTATTGGCAAAACCTGAAAGAAATATGGTCCAGGGAGGGGGAGGATGCCTAGGGGATATACAGGCCCAGCTGCAATTGCTGGCCTTGGTAAAAAGATGACAACACAAAGGGTTCTTACCTCCAGGTCCTGCCCAGCCTGACTCCCAGCTCTGCCCTGACATCCACCCTCCCATGCTACTCCTTGTGGTGGCCTTATAGCTACCTACTCACCCCTGACGTGTTTCAGCCCTTCTACCACCCTCCATTTCACAGCTGCAGAGAGAGGGCGTGGAGTCATAGCAGCCTATAGCCCATCCGACTGGTTCAAATCTGAGTTCTACCAGCTCCAGGCTACATATAGAGTCTCCTAACTTCCCTGAGCCTTAGCTTGGTTCTCTGCACAACGGGGCTGAATAGATGTACCGTGCAGGGTGGTCCTGAGGAACACTGATGGTGCAGGAGAACATCCAATTTGGTGTTTGGTGCATGATGGGCTTTCAGCTGGTAGGTTGTTTTAACTGGATGTGAGCAACGCCAGAGATCTGGCTGCTGGCAGGTCATGTGTGAGGCTGTTGCAAGGATAAGTGGACTGGCTGCCACTGAGTGACACATGTGAGCAGAATTCTTACTTTGCCTGGCCAGAGAGGCAGAAGGAATGGATCCAGGGGACAAAGGGTCAGATTCTAAAGACTCCAAATATGCACATACTCTCATTCACAATGAAGGACAGTATTCCAAGCAGACAGCACAAGGAGGGCAGTAGCAATGAGGGTTCTTCAAGGATCACTGTCTCAGGTCTATAGGTGGAAGAACGGAAGTGTTTTTAGATGGAGGAGATAGTCATTCCAATGTGTATTTTAGGAGCAATCCCTACCTTATGGGGATGGATTAGAGGGAGCAAGCTAGGGATTGGGAGGCTACTATCACTGGAGAGAAGAAAAGCAGGAGAAAACCTGCAGGTCCTTGGGGGGCAGGAGGAGGAAGGGTCCAGGGTGCTGCCCACCTCTGGCTGGGTCACTGGGTGGTGCAGAGCAGGGGATGGGGTATGGTCAGTCTCAAACTATAGGATGTGCAGTTGTAAACACGTTGTCTGTGGGAAATGACTCCATGGCCCAGGAGAGGGTTAAGGCTTGAGGTTGTGGACAGCAAGCTCAGGGGGAAGGCTCAGCTGTCTAAGAGGTCAGAGAGACCCTAGAAGAAGAGCCCCAGAGCTACCAGAAGGACCCCTAGGAGATGGTGGAGGAGCAGCCAGCGGTAGAGGAAGCGGACAGGAGGGTGCAGTTCCCCCAAGAGGGTGTCAGTAAGGTCAGACAAGATGAGGATCAAAAACTGTCCTCCAGCCTGAGTCCCAGGGAGGCGGGGTGTTGGCTACAGAAGCCCCGCAGTGTCCTTGTGTCTGTGGAGGCCTCAATGGCGCCAGCTGGGCAGAGCTCTGAGTGTGGGAGGAAATGTCCTGGGTCTGTGTCTTCCTAGGGTGCATAGAGGAGCGGTTGGCTGAGAACGGGGTATGGAGCCTGTCAAGAGCTCCTTGTGTAAGCTGTATGGCCAACAGCCGGGTTCCAGGGCCATTTAGAGCGAGGGTGGCTGGGCCTAGGTCACGGCCTGCCTGGGGACTGGCAGCCAAATACATGCGGACGCCGGCACTGCACACCCGAGCAGGGCTGGCTGATCCCTGAGGCCGCCGCGAACACCCCCGCCCCGGGGCCCAGAAGCTCAGCCACCGCCGACTCCGCGCGGAACCAGGCGTCCTGTCCCGACGCGGCGCGCGCTGTCGCGATCCGGCGGCGCGTGACGTGGCGGGGGCGGGGCCTCAGCGGCCCCGGCGGCCGTGGCGGTCGAGCTACTGAGCATCCTGTCGGCGCTTGGCTGCCGCGAGGTAACGGGCCGCGGGCGGGCGCGCGGGGGAAGCGGGGCCGGGGTCGGGCGGGGGGCCGCGTCCTGAAGGCCGAACTCTCCGCGCCGCCGCCGCCGCCGCCGCCGCGTGCGGGATTCGGGCCCGCCAACCCCGGCGCGGGGCGGGCTGGCGGCACGTGAGAGTCGCTGCGGTGAGAGCGTGCCAAAGGGTGACGCTGTGCGTGTGAGAGGGACCGCGAGCCTGAGGGTGGCTCCAGGAGTGTGGAGGACCCTGAGTGTAAAGCTGAGCGTGTCAGAAAGACTGTGTGTGTGAGTGTGGGTGTGTGAGCGACCCCCCCCCGAGTCTGAGGGTGACTGTGAGTGTGCAAGAAAGACCCGGAGTGATCTTGCACACGGAGTGACGCCGAGAGGGTGTGAGATGATGCTGACAGCATGGGAGAGACCTTGGTGTGAAGGAGACTGTGCGTGCACGTGAGACACATGCAGACCCCCTAGACTAGTAGGAGACTGTGCGTGCGAAACCCACAGCCTGGGGGTGATTTCTCTGAGCGTGTGAGAGCTTGCGTGTGAGAGCTTGCGTGTGAGGGTGTCTCCAGGAGTGTGCGAGAGACCCTGGCGATAGAGGCCCTGAGTGTGGCACTGTGTGAGACGGTGAGAGGTGCTCCAGGGTGAGCGTGACGGGAAGAAAGCGAGCCTGTGCCGGGAGAAACTCTGAAAGTGAGAAAGACCGCGTGCAAGACTGCGGATGTCCTGCAGGGTCAGAGCTTGGGATGCTGCGAGATTGTCTAGGGCCGGGGGCTCCCGGGCTAGGGAACCGGTGCTCCTGCTATGATGGCTCCTCCTTCTGCCTCATGGCCTGTCACCTTGTTTGATCATCTCATGTTGTAAATGGAAGGAGATCTTTGTAAAACATTCTGAGAATTCTTCACTAAGCGCTAAGCAAACAGTGTGGGTACCACGTTGTGTAATGGTCGGTATAAATAGGAATCAATATTTAACAGATGTTTTTGAGTACCTCTTGTGTGCACCGGGCTATGGGCTTGGTGACACAGTTCAAAAGAATTCAATCTCTGCCCTTGATGGGGGAAAAAGCACCGCCAGCGAATCTAGCATCGTGTTAGCAGAATGCTCAGCCATCTGGTGCTTCGCTGAGATCTGCTCCCTGATTTGAAGATCTGGTGGGAGCAGACTTTTGAAAGCGTGTGAGAGCTTCCTGAGCTCATTTTCGTCCCTCTTTGCGTGCTGTGAAGGCCTTAGGAGGAAGCTGTCCAGGCCTCCTACTTTGCTAAGGTGCCATTGTGCGCTCATGGCTTTAGCTTCCCAACTTTGGTCTCAGACTGTCATTCGAGTTCTTGTATTTGATTTCCCTCCCCTGACGAGTATGTGGAAAACCACAAACCCCGTTTTTTCCCTATCTTCCTTCTCTCTCTGGCTGCGGACATATTTTTATTGCAGACCAGAAATAAATACCAGTTGGGTGACTTATCTCATTGGCACTTCTTGGTACAGGAAATTTCCTGACCTCTGTCTCGTGTGCTTCCTGCTGTAGTCTCCGGGATGTGGGTACGTTTCTACAAAAGTGACGCAAACAGTGCTCACAGGACCCGGGACTTGGGGAGCAGCAGCAGTCTGGTTACGCATGATTTGAGACCACGGGGCTAGTTCTCTGACCCATGTGTGGGCTGGTTGCTTCAGTTACACTCCACTGTGAGTGTGATGGAACTTCTCAGGCATGGAATGCTGCCCCTGCCAGGCATATAAAACATAAGTTTTACAAAGGGAGATATCCAGCTGCTTATTAGGTTTATTTTTTGATAAGCTGCCTCCTACTCTTTGTTGCGGAGGTTAAATGACCAAGACAGACAAGTGGAATTAGGCCTTGATGTGGAGACTTCATTTGCTTCTCCATACCTGACCCTTCAGAATGAGGCAGCTTATGGGAGTGTAATGTTTGTTTATTTCCCCATAGGTGAATATCGTTACTCTGATCTCTGTTAACTTTCTTGGATCTTTAAGATTTGTGAAGAATTTCAGTTATTTTTGCACGGCATGAACAGGATACTAGTAATGACAATGGCTCGTATATAATTAAAAATTATATAACACTATATTATATTAATTGTATATATATTAAATTATATCTTTTTTTAATGTTTTATTTATTTCTGAGCGAGAGAGAGAGGCAGTGTGAGCAGGGAAGAGTCAGAGAGAGAGGCAGACACAGAACCTGAAACAGGCTCCAGACCCTGAGCTGGCTGTCAGCACAGAGCCTGATGCGGGGCTTGAACCCACAAACCATGAGATCGTGACCTGAGCCAAAGTCAGACGCTCAACTGACTGAGCCACCCAGGCGCCCCAAATTATATCTT